AACCTATACAATCTATTCCCTTTCTTTCTTTTTTTAAGTGTCCAAATTATTTTTTATTTTTACAATATGCTTTTAAGATAAAAAAGAAAGTCAATAAGACTAAAATTTAAAGAACAAAGACGCACAAAAAATATAATCTATTGAAGGGTAGGTATCCCAAAAGATACAGTGCAGACTTCCCTAAAACCTGTCATTTTGATATACAGATTATCTTGTACTGATGTCACTGGGGTGCTTCAGACTCACAAGGAAACTTATCATTCGTTCAATGACCTAGGGATATTACCTTGAATTAGTGTTTTTACTAGAAATAATCTGTCTATCTGAAAAACAGACCTACATGGTAGGGCAAATATCTAATTACAGAGCATCTGTTTTTCATCATGTGACATACTCTCACTTCTCCCCTTGAAGTCCCAGACCTTATCCCAGTTCTTAGTCAATATATGTACCCTATTTTTGAATCATAGTCTGAAATCTGTGTGTCTATATAGATTTTCCACTCTACAAATTAAGTATGATTTTTTTCCCTTGAACTAACCTATTTTGTTTTTCATTTGTTTATTCAATCAGCTTGAGAAAAATCTAGAGGGGTACAGTAATATTTCCCTACCTCTCCTACACTACCAATAAGAATTTACCAAAAGGCATTTTTCTTAAACATTATAGTAAGGCATATCTTAGACTTGTAGCAGATGTATCTCTGTGAGGAGGAGAAGCCCAATGAACAGGCACCATTTCCCCCCACCCCCACTTATGTACAACAACCTTGTACTACAATTCCCAAGGTATCATGCTGACAGGGGGAACTGAGAAGGAATATGTTTATATAATTTGGGGTGAAACGAAAGCTAAACATTTGGGAAAGACACTTGGAAAAGAGACATGTGTGTGTGCGTGCGTGTGTGCGTGTGTGTGTGTGTGTGTGTGTGTGTGTGTGTGTGTAAGGGAGACAGAGACAGAGAGCAGAGAGACATGTGGGGAGGCTGTTCCTGGTCCTTGGCAGAGATAATGACAGCCATTATCTTCACCTGGCGGTGGATTATATGGTACATTTTGAACTTAGTGTGTCTCCTGTCCCAGAGGGTATCTTAAAATTGTGGCAATTTTCAGATCTTAGATGCCATGCTTTGGGCAGAGTTTCTTATGGCCGGCATTTTCCCATGAGAGAATAGTTTGTTTTTTTTTTTTTTTTTGTAGAGTTTTATTAAGAATAACCTTTCTTCTCTTTTCTCTCTCTGCACGTGAAATAAACAGCTTTCACACACGTGAATTAAACAGCTTTCACACTAAGAGTATGCTTTGTTTGTCTTTGTGCGGTTAAACTGAATGATACTAACTTCTTGAAAAAATCAGAATTATTGTGTTTTTGTTTTGTTTTATGAACATCAACTGCCTGTTATTTAGTTTGCCCTCTTTAAAGAATTTTAAATGATATTATGAATTTCAATTTATGACAATCTGATTTATAGTTTTTGTTGTAATTCTTAGCCAGAGATATTTAGGTTTCAATGTGAAATATCTTTAGAAAAATTACCTGAAAGAGACATGAAAAGAGTAGTCACATAATTATGTTTTTCTATATAATAGCTACATTGCTGGAAATGTGTTGTGAAAAATCCCATCTCATAAAGTGCTGGAATTTATTTACCATCCTTTATGACTCATTTTCTAGTTCTGAATCATTGTGTTAAAAATTATGGTGGTGCAAGGGGTTAAGCACAGCACTATGAAGCAATCCACAGCCCCTGCAGCACGAGTTTGATCCCTGGCCGGCCAGGGAGCAACCCACATGGCACAGCTGACTACTCCTGACTCACCCGCTGCTTCTCTCAGAAGTGTATTTCATTCAGTCTGCCTGTTCTGTTCCCCACTGTCTTGGTGAATCCTCTTACATCCCACGCCTCTGGCCTGTCCCCCAGCTCTTGTATACGTAGATGAATAAATCTTTAAAAAAAATTGTGGTATATTAGGCATAGCATCGGGCCTCCCCTGGTGGTGCAGCGGTTGAGCACTGGGCTGCGAAGCTGCCCGCAGCCTCTGCAGCACAGGTTCAATCCCTGGCCACTGGTGAGTGTCCCACGTGGCGCGACAGACCTCTCCTGTCGCACCAGCTGCTCCCCTCAGCAGTGTATTTCATCAGCCTGACTGTTCTGTTCCCAGCTCTGGCTCTGGTGAATTCTCTCACCCTCCCATGCTTGACTGTACCCAGTGCTTGTAAAAATAAATTATTTTTTTTAAAAATTAGGCATAACATTGTAGAAAATATCATTTTTAGTATTTTAAATGTTACTTTTAATAAAATTCCTAGCAAAATTGAAACTTCTGAAGTAGGAATCCAATATTCTTGATGCTAAATTTACTTTCCTGAAAGGTTAAGAACATTTGGAAGTGCCAGTAGTAGTTCAGGGCACAAAAATGCCATAAATCTCTCCTAAAGGGTGATTTAGTACTCTAAGGAAAAAAAAAAATAGACTCTCAAAGTCCGATACTCTCCTGATGAAATTTATATTCTGGTGAGAACAGAGCTAGCAAGCTTCTCAATTCTTTTAACTGTGTTGAAAGTAGAGAAAATGTTAACAAAGAAAGAATAAACAAGTCTACCTTATGTTAAAGTAGAGATCAGTGAGGTAGAGATGATGCTTGTCGTATGAATAGTCTGGCTTCCTGCCCAGACAGGACCTCGGGGTTGCATACAGAGATATGGTAATAAATTCTAGGATCAGTTTATAATATTCACATGTGCTTGGAGGAGCATGACCTTAGTGGAAATGGCTCATATCAGCCACATTCACAAGAGACTGACATACTGACCAAATGACAAATCAATCAAATGTATAAAGATAAATGTAAAATGACAAAGCATTAATGGTGTAGGGGGGAAATGTAATCTTCTCTATCCTTCAACTTTCTTGGCTAAGATATCCCCTGTAATAAAACACAGATTAACAGGAGGAAAGTGAACAAAGTTTAATAATATGAGTATCTCCTGTCTACATAAGAGAAACCCAGAAAACAGTAACTCCATAAAATAACCCAACTTCTATCTTAAACATCTTCAGCTAGAGACAAAAGATGTTAGGAAGTGAAGTGAATCAAGGAGTCAGTTATGGGAGATAATAAGCAAAATATAGTAAATAAGGACATGCCTGTTATGCAGATTTAAGTTGCTGCTTTCTCCATTCACAAGAGTTCTAGTGATTTAGTCATCCTCCACTTCCTGGGGCAGAGAGGGAGACTAACAAATGGAGGTTCCGGATACAAATGTAATGTTTCTTACATAAGGGTAACTTTCATCCGGTTTTCAGAGCTTATGTCTGCTACTTCTTAAAAATATCCAGCTCAAAATAATCCTTGTGCCATAGAGGCATATTTTGGGAGTGGCAAATTTTGCTCTTCTTCAACGTATAAAGAGAAATGTAAAGTCACATATCATTGAAGTACAGGAAGAAATGTAACTTAAAGGAGAGTCTAACATTTATTTCCCTTATTCAGGACAGATATCTCCAGGACAAAATTTCTCTTAAAAAGCTCAAATACATTATAGTTAAGCAATAGTAATGATTAGCACGTATGAACAAAGGTGTCTGCATCTGTACAGCAGGGTTATCCTAGTGGACGAGAGGCTGGACCCACAATAAAACAGTCTTACTCTTTAATTTTTACTTTTAAAAAATAATCCATTCCCTTTCTGTTCAGACAGTTTTCTTTCAAATAGGGTATATTCAAGTAGGGTATATAGGAGCAAATTTAGTTAACTAAAATTTCACATAGAATTCTCAATGTATGGAGGTCAGATAAGAGGGCTGATTGAAGTAGCACTGAAAGGTTGCAATGGACTTGGGTCAATTTTCCTTCACCTCACAAACTCTCCCAGCCCACCTCTAATCCCACTTATTCCCCAGAGACCTCTGGAGCTTCATCAACCAGTACTGAAACTGTTATATACAAGAGAAACATTTACCTTGAAGCGTCAGTGATAGAATCTTACTTGCCCTGAGTTTAATTTCAGTGTTTAATTGTTGTCGTTGCAAGATATTATCATAGTCTTATGCCAGTTTGCACAGCTAGTTTATGGGTTAGTAAAAACAACTCTGAAAGCTCTGTGCATATCATTTTATATTTTTTATTTTTTTAATTTTATTTTTATATTCCCCAGACAATTGCAACCCCCTTATTTTGACCTCAATCCCTCCTTTCCCTGCCCCCCCCATAGTGTGTCTCTGGTTCATAGTTGTTTGTTGATTTTGATTTTTTTCTTTCTTATACTTATTCTCTTTTCCTGGTCCCTTATTTAGGTTTTCTAGATTCCTGCTATGAGTGACACCATCCAGTATTTTTCTTTTTCTTTCTGGCTTATTTCGCTGAGCATGATCTCTTACAGCTCCATCCATGTTGCTGCAAATCGCATGTGTTTATCTTTTTTGAATGCTGAGTAATATTCCATTGTGTATATGTACCACATATTCTTGATCCAGTCATCTATTTTGGGCATTTGGGTTGTTTCCAAAGCTTAGCTACTGTAAATTGTGCTGCTATAAACATAGGCGTGCAGGTGCTCTTTAGAATTGATGTTTCTGTGTCCTTTGGGTAAATACCTAGGAATGGAATTGCTGGATCATATGGAAGCTCTATCTTTAGTAGGTTGAGGAATCTCCACATAGCTTTCCATAGTGGTTGGACCAGTTTGCACTCCCACCAACAGTGCAGGAGAGTTCCTTTTTCTCCACATCCTCGCCAACATTTGTTGTTGCTAGTTTTTTTTAATATGTGCCATTCTCACTGGTGTAAGATAATATCGCATTGTAGTTTTGATTTGCATTTCCCTGATTACAAGTGATGTTGAACATTTTTTCATATGCCTGTTGGCCATTTGTATTTCCTCTTTGGAGAAGTTTCTTTTTACCTCTTCTGCCCATGTGCATATCATTTTAAAAGATTTTTTTACTCAGATTCATGTTGTTCACAATTGATCATTCCATTGTTTTGCTCTTATTCAGGACTTGGCTGCTCCCTGGACATTTGGAAACATTGAAGACAGAAACAAAAGCATGCTGATGCATGCAGGCTCTTGAAACTTCCACACAGAATTGACACCCTTTATTCTGCTGCTTTCTTTTGGCCGAAGATACAAGGTACTCATTGAAGGTAAAGTCTCAATGATAGTTAGACCAAGTTTAGTAGATAAACAATTTATTCTCCTTTCTAAAATATGCACTGCAGAGATGCAAAGGTGGGGTACCCATCATTAACTCTTCTTTATCCAGCAATGTAGTCAACAGTAGAGATTAAACTGCATTTACTCTCAGGAATCAGATTTTGAATCCTTTTCTCAGATTTCAAGTGTGTGCAGATAGCCTTGCTCACCTTTCAAAAGCAGCACTGCAGAGAGGGGTGGGTTTTTAAAAAAAAACATTTTAAAGTATGCTCACAAAGGCCAAGATTGACATCCAGATTATAAGATAACATAATACTACAACAGTAGATAGTAATCATGATAATCACTGCATGATTAATCAAAAAACATTGATTGAGGCACTTCAGCTGATGTCTGGAACACACCAATGAAGGCAAACATGGTTCCTGCAGTGCTGTAGCTCACAATGTCTATTCCCTGTCATGAATGATAAAGATGCCTTTTTTCCTAGCCCTTCTTTACAACAAAGAAGCAGATCCTGTTCTTTCAGTTTTCTTCCCTCTTTAAATTTTGGGGACCATTGCAGAGCTTTTAATAGTTGAGCATTTTACGAGTTTTTTTTTTAATATTCTTTTTTTTTTATTAAGTGAAGAGCTATTTCCTTTTTGTGAGATCATTTAGTTTCAAATATTTGTTCTAATGTATCTCACATACCATTTTGTCACACTATTGGGGCCAGGGATGCTTAGGTACCCCATGCTTCTTGATTTCTGTTCAGGAAAGAACTCATGTGGAAATCAGTAAAGGTGAGTTGGAAATTAAGTTTTATTGTTGGTAAAAGTACACAATCAAGAGTGAGTTCCAGCAGATTCAGTGCCTTGGGTCCTAAGACTAGCAGTATAAATATTTCCTTTGTTTGAGGGGGCAGGGACTCACAGATGGGATCATGAAATGGTTTTGACAACTTTAGCTTAACAAAAGGAGTAGGAATGTACAGATTGAGATAATGAGTTTTAACAAAAGTGCCTGACCCCTTAACATCCTGTTAGTTATTAATAGATAAGATAGAAGTCTTATAACTAGTGCTATATGGTGTGAAATAAAGTAATAGGGTTTCAGACACTTTGCTCTGAAATGTGCTAAATTCCTGTTCTACCTCAAAACTGTTCCAGTATATACATCAATATATACAAGAGCTATTGGTGTTCGCATTGAAAAACATTGTTTTGAAAATTTAAAGTTCCGGTAATACAAAAACGTTAAGCATTATGTTTTTCTTTCATTCTTCATGTACCTGTATCTCCCCTATTTTCATTTAATTTGTAAATAGAGACCATGACATCTTATTTTTATTCAAGTTTCAACCTTTTGAAGGTTCTGAAAACAGATCATGCCAAGATTCTCAGAGGTGGCCTTCCCTAGATGTCCAGAGTTATTTAATTAGGATATCCCATTTTGGCATGCAGAGAATTTTGGGTTGAGATAAATTAAGGCCCTACAGTGTAAGGAGAAGTTCTTGCCCTTCTAATCCACAGGACAGTCTCTTTTACTCTCTAGAGACGTATTAGTCAGGTGTAGGATTATATGTGGAAGTGGACTCTTTATCTGAGAAGCCCAACTTTATTTGTTGAATGAACATGAAGAAATTCCCTCCACATCATGTGAAGTTCCCCACTCCTTCCTTGACAGCCAGGGTCCCTATTCCATTCCTTAGTTCAGGATTTAAATACTCTTCTCCATGACTAAAGGCAGGATCTGCATCATCAATGTAGATTCCTTTTGCCTTCTGCCAACTGTTTTTGATTATGGGATCAGCTCCAGAAGAACCTAGAGGGGTGGAAAAATTCCCCCTGTGCTGGACACTTCCAACATTTTTTTTTTTTAATATTTACTAAATGCCACACAGTAAATTAAAGGAAAATGAATGTGATACATTCCATTCCTTTAAAAAACTTTTTTTTTTTTTTTTTTTTAATAATTTTATTGTTATATTCCCCATACAATTGCAGCCACCCCATTCTGACCCCAATCCCTCCCCTCCCGCCCCCGCCCCCCTAAAAGTGTCTCTGGTTCATAGTTTTTTGTTGATTTTGATTTTCACTTTCTTATAGTTATTCATTTTCCTGGTCCCTTATTTAAGTTTTCTAGATTCCTGCTATGAGTGAGACCATCCGGTATTTTTCTTTTTCTTTTTGGCTTATTTCGCTGAGCATGATCCCTTCCAGCGCCATCCATGTTGCTGCAAATTGCATGTGTTTATCTTTTTTGAATGCTGAGTAATATTACATGGTATATATGTACCACATCTTCTTGATCCAGTCATCTATTTTTGGGCATTTGGGTTGTTTCCAAAGCTTAGCTATTGTAAACAGTGCTGCTATAAACATAGGGGTGCAGGTGTTCTTTGGAATTGATGTTTCTGTGTCCTTTGGGTAAATACCTAGGAGTGGAATTGCTGGATCATATGGAAGCTCTATGTTTAGTAGGTCCAGAAATCTCCACACAGCTCTCCACAGTGGTTGGACCAGTTTGCACTCCCACCAACAGTGCAGAAGAGTTCCTTTTTCTCCACACCCTCGCCAGCATTTGTTGTTGCTAGTTTTTTTAATATGTGCCATTCTCACTGGTGTGGTATCTCATGGTAGTTTTGATTTGCATTTCCCTGATGGCAAGTGATGTTGAACATTTTTTCATATGCCTGTTGGCCATTTGCATTTCCTCTTCAGAGAAGTTTCTTTTTAGCTCTTCTGCCCATTTTTTGACTGGATTATTTTCTTTGTTGTTGCTGAGTCTCATCAGCTCTTTGCAGATTTTTGTGATCAGTCCTTTATCATTAGTGTTGGGTGCAAAAATGTTCTCCCAGTTGGTGGGGTTTCTCTTTGTTTTTGTTATTGTCTCTTTTGCTGTGCAGAAGCTCTTTAATTTGATGTAGTCCCAGCTGTTTATCTTTGCCTTCACTATCACTGCTTTGGGTGATGTGTCTGTAAAGATGTCTTTGATGTGCAGATCACGTAGTGTTTCGCCTATATTTCCTTCTATATATTTTATGGTTTCAGGTCTTATGTCTAGTTCTTTAATCCATTTTGAGTTGATTTTTGTGTATGGTGTGAGGTAGTGGTCAAGCTTCATTCTTTTGCATGTAGCGACCCAGTTTTCCCAGCACCATTTATTGAACAAACTTTCTTTGCTCCAATGCATAGTCTTTGCTCCTTTGTCAAAGATTAGTTGACCATAAATCTGTGGATTTATTTCTGGATTTTCTATTCGATTCCATTGGTCTGTATGTCTGTTCTTGTTCCAATACCATGCAGTTTTGATGATTATGGCTTTGTAGTATAGTTTGAAGTCTGGGAGTGTAATTCCCTTCTTTTTTTTCAGGAGAGCTTTGGCTATTCGGGGTTTTTTTGTGATTCCATATGAATTTCATCAATAATTGTTCTATTTCTTTGAAGAATGACATTGAAATTTTGATTGGAATAGCATTGAATCTGTATATTGCTTTTGGAAGGATGGCCATTTTAATAATGTTTATTCTTCCAATCCACGAGCAGGGGATGTCTCTCCATTTCTTTGTGTCTTCTTCTATTTCTTTTAACAGTGTTTTATAGTTTTCTTTGTATAGGTCCTTTATCTCTTTTGTTAGATTTATTCCCAAATATTTGATTTTTTTTGTTTCAATAACAAAAGGGATGGTTTTTTTGATTTCTTCTTCTTCAGATTTATTGTTTGTGTATAGGAAGGCTACTGACTTTTACGTGTTGATTTTGTATCCTGCCACTTTACTGAACTGATTGATGAGCTGAATTAGCTTTTCTGTGGAGTTTTTGGGGTTCTCTATGTATAATATCATATCGTCTGCAAATAGTGATAGTTTGACTTCTTCTTTTCCTATTTGGATTCCTTGGATGTCTTTCTCTTGTCTTATTGCCCTGGCTAGGACTTCCAGTATTATATTGAAAAGCAGTGGTGAGAGTGGACATCCTTGTCTTGTTCCAGATCTTAATGGAATTGCTTTCAGCTTTTCACCATTGAGAATGATGCTGGCTGTTGGCTTGTCATAGATGGCCTTTATGATGTTGAGGTATGTTCCTTGTATCCCAAGAATTTCAAGGGATTTTATCATGAATGGGTGTTGCACTTTGTCGAAAGCTTTCTCAGCATCTATTGATATTATCATATGGTTTTATATTTCTTTGTTGATGTGTTGGATAACGTTGATTGATTTTCGGATGTTAAACCATCCTTGTGCCCCTGGAATGAATCCTACTTGGTCGTGGTGAATTATCTTATGGATACATTGTTGGATTCTGATGGCTAAAATTTTATTGAGGATTTTTGCATCAGTGTTCATTAGGGAGATTGGCCTGTAGTTTTCCTTTTAGTGTTGTCCTTGTTCGGTTTTGGTATTAGTGTAATGTTGGCTTCATAGAACGTGTTTGGTATTGTCCCTTCCTTCTCAATTTTTTGGAAGAGTTTGTGAAGGATAGGCACTAATTCGTCTCTGAATGTTTGGTAGAATTCATTTGTAAATCCATCAGGTCCTGGGCTTTTGTTTTTGGGGAGGTTTTTGATTACCATTTCAATTTCGCTAATTGTAATTGGTCTGTTTAGGTGTTCTATTTCTTCTTTATCTAGCTTTGGGTGATTGTAGAGTTGTAGGAATTTGTCCATCTCCTCTAGATTATTGAACTTATTTCCATATAACTGTTCATAGTAGTTACTGATTATTCTTTTGATTTCTGCTGTGTCCGTTGTGATTTCTCCTCTTTCATTGATGATCCTGTTTATTTGTGCTTTCTCCCTTTTTCCTTTGTGAGCCTGGCTAGGGGTTTGTCTATTTTATTGATTTTTTCAAAGAACCAGCTCTTGGTTTCATTGATCTTTTGGATTGTTTTTTAGTTTCAATTTCATTTATTTCTGCTTTGGTTTTTATTATTTCTTTTCTTCTACTGGTTTTGGGGTTTTTTTGTTGTTCTTTTTCTAGATCTTTGAGCTTCGAGATTAGGTT